ATCACCTCAGCATTCAAATAATTGAACCCCTAACAGACCTAATGAGCTCAAATTGTAATCCAGAACTAATTCAAATTTTTCAGTCTCTGAATATATTAGAGGTAGTCTTGTAACTATGAACTTTCTTAAGGTACTTGCAAAGGTTCTAACCAAACAGCCTTTTGGTTCATTTAAAGGGGAACTGCAAAGCTATTTCAACATTTTGTGTTTCTAATGAATTGGCAATGATGAGTGCTTTTCAACCCACAATGAAACTACCAGGTATGTGGTCACGTGTACAGCCCTTGAGTTTCCATCACAAAATTGACTAAGTTTCAGTGTATGTGCTATATTGTCACCATTGTCTGTGATTCAGAGGCAACAAGTGTCCCCATTACATTGTAAACGTGCTTTAGACCAAACAAATTCTCCTACTGCATTGATAGTAAATATTTCCATGGACCCGACGTATACAAAGCAACGTGTTTTTGACATACTTAATGGTTAAGTATGGCAAAAAAAAGAGCAGCCTGCCAACCAGCTAAAATAAACTCACAGTGAATGTTGTTAGGAGACCATGTCACTGTAAGCCAATGAGAAACTAGTGAGCGGGAAGGGCTGATGTCACATTACAGTTTGAGGAAACTCTCGTTCTCGCCCGTGGCAATAGCAGCGGGTTGTGACGACACGGCAGCCATACACGGTACCTTCATGAAGTTCACGCTTCTTTACTTAACCCAAAATTTGTAAAAAATTTGTGATACCATCAGTTTTATTTTGTTACCAAGGTTTTATAATCTGAGAATAGAAGTCTGAGAATTTGGGACTGCAGTTCCCCTTTAAAAGGTCTTTAAGAGCTCAGCTGCAGTGAAAACCCAGTGGTGTGGAGCGGTTCCCAGGACTGGGGTCCCCTCCTCTAGCTCTTGAGCTTGTTCATGCACAAACCGGCCAGTTACCAAGGTGTTCTACAGCTACCAGCGTCAGAGTAGGAATCAGGAATACAAACTTGACATCTGCATTGAAGGCAGGCTGGCGCAAGGGTTAATTTTAGGCTGGCGTAGGGGTGGAGTTTAGGCTGATCAAAGGTTTAATCTAGGCTGCCATAGGGGTGGAATTTAGGTTGGCGCAGGGGCAGAGTTTAGGCTGATGTCAGGGTTTAATCTAGTCTGGCGCAGGGGCAGAGTTTTGGGTGGAACATGGACACAGTGGGGAAGGGTGGGCAGCACAAGTGCAAAACTGCACCCAGGCCTTGTGAGTGATAAACTGTAGCCCTCAGCGTCTGCGCTAGGGGTGGGAGAGTGTGTCCATTGCTCTACCTGCTAGCCTGCAGCCACGGAGCACATGTTCCGGGTGATCGCTGAGCTATGGGCCGCTCTGGGGCTGACTCGGCACTGGTGCCAGACCTCAAGTGTGAGTCGCAAGGCTGGGCTATTAAGAGAATTTGTGTTTGAAAGCCCTGGGCACAGAAAGTAGTGTGAAGTGCTTGAGCATTGTAGTGTGTTCCTGAATATTGAGGTTGTGCTTTTCAGCTTTCTGCGAGTGTAGAGCACAGAATAGGCACAACATGACCCCCATGACCTGTGACCTGCGTGGTGCCTGCAGGGTCTTCACAGCCACATGACTGTCCCATGGTGGGGAGATGTACCTGGCCTTGCGCTCACTCAGTGGGGATGCCTTCTCAGGCCTGCTGGGTGCCCTGCTACCCCCAGTATCCTAACATTGCACTTCTCTTGCCCTGTGATATAATAATGCCCAAAACATCACCTCCCTAGCATAATACCACTTATACTACATGTTGCACCACCACACTACCCCTGATAGTGGTAATACATTACAATGCATAAAATTAATACTGCAACTAACATACAAAGTCAGAATGTCATCCATAAAATTCAAAACTTGCACAATTAATTTTCCAACCATATAGATCAACATGCACTGCCAGTTAACTGCTACATTAACCTGTTTTCACTGATATTTACTGCACATGGAGCTGGTAGAGACCAGTGCTACGCTCAAGTTGTTACAGGTCTTTAAAATACTTGTTTCGGGGGAGCAGTATTAACAATCAGATACAGCAGGAGTCACCCCTCTATGCTGTCTGTCTCACCCAGAGCAAGCAAGCTTCTAGTTCTGTTCCCAGGAGGGCGGCAGCATCTTCTGGCTGCCTGTTACAAATGGCTTGCAATTACTTAATTATACTAATTATCTAATTAACTGGGTTCTCATGTAACACTTCCTCCTGATGGCTCAGAAGCCAGGGGATTGATTTTCAGGAAATTGTGCCCTGACCCCAGTGCAGTGGATCTAAGGTTCCGAATTATAGCTATTAATCAGATCAGTTCAAGAGCAGTAGACTACAAGTGCATCCAGAACAAGCCGTGAGGAGGAGCTGTAGTCCCTGTCTGTGTAGAAGTATAGAACAAAGTCGTGCCCCTTCCCCCAGCACCAGCTGGTTCTGTAAGATTTCAGAAATGGCTCCTTGAGTTGATCGTGTTTGAAAAGAGATTTTTACCCCAAAATCTGCCCACACATTAAAAACACAGCTTTGTTCACATGACCCCTTTTTGTTCACTTCAAAAAGTAAGTGTACAGGAATCTCAAAGAGAATTGCTGTTAGTCAGACTCCTAGTGCTCAGCACTCTGATCCACCCCAGGTTTTGCAGCGTTACCAGTCAGCCTCAGCTGCTGGGCTTGTACATGAATTGCTCCCGTGAGACAAACAGATCTACCACTTGACTCAAGTTTTTTGTGCGAGATCTCTGCCACCTGGTGTCACTTTTAGCAAGAGCCCTGCAGGTGGTAAGAAATGTGGAGAGTTCTAGGTTACTGTACAGTAGGAATCAGATTGTCACTCCTCTCCAAAATGATCGTTTTACTTTTTTTCATATTTTCTCTTGCAAGCGCAGTCACAACAGTTTTGGGTGTTTGTAAATCCAGTGTGTTTGAGGTGTTTAGGGGTCTGAGTGACTCTTGAGTCCTGTAATGGTCCCCTGGGATTGGTGTGCAGTTTGTTTGCGTAGCAATTTTGTGTGATTTTCTTAAGAACCACCCCACTGTGTGCCTGGAAATTAGAAAGAATCTGAAGCAGGAGAGCATCTGCAGCTGGTGTAGCTTGTGGAAGAAACTCTTATGTAGCAACAGAGGAGATAAATTGACTTAAGTGTGTGTGCAGTCCTGGAAAATTTATTTGACATTAAATAAACTTTAGTTTAGATTTTGTAGGGTTGGTTAGCGTGGAGCACCTCTTGTCTGAGCCGGTTTGTCTGCCTTCCCCCCTGTGAAGAGCCTGGAGCCTGCCCTGTGTGTCTGTGGGTGCGTCTGCCACTGTCCTTGTCCCAGCTAGTGCTTCTCTTTCATCGTCTGTCCAATGCAAGGTTGCAGGGCTGGTTTGCTGAAGTTCTCCCATTGTGCCCAGTGAGTGACAGCACCTCCTTTCTCCTCAGGTGGATACCCTGCGCCATGCTACACACCTGACGGGCGGTTATGAGGAGCTGACAGGGAGCGCCTTGTACCCTCCACGACGCATCAATGTGAGTAGTT